ATCTGCTCAGGTCCCTTCTGACCCTACAAACTATGAAAGGCTTTGATGGAGAGGATGGGACCTTTTAACCTCTAATTTTCCCTTGTAGCAGATACCTGATGAGTCCATTGTCTGTTAGGTGCTCTTAACATTAAAATGATGACTGGAATTATGTCAATATAGAATATAAATCAAATTTAAAGAGATTAACTTAAACCATAGGGCTAAAAAACAGTCAGTCCGAGCACATTCTGCTCTGGCAATTCTGACATTTGGAAGATCCCATAACTATGCACTAATACATCACAAGAATATCACTGCTCTACGTGATGGTTGACAGTTTTACAAAGAAAAACAAATAGGTAGATAAAAACTACCTCACTTGTACAACTCACTATTAAAATAGGTTTTTCCTCTAAATAGCTTAGTGCTTTCTACAACATACACACAGCCAAATTTTCACAATTGATTATTGATTCTTGGATACCCCGTGTGATATCTCTTCACCCTGACTTCAGGAGTGCCAAGCATCCAAACTAGCTGAAGTCAGTAGGTATCACAGGTGCTCTGTCCCAGTAGTTCTCAACCAGTAGATTGAAGGGGTGCTGCAAAGGCAGATGGAGAGGGAGTATATCAGCCAACCCCCTCCTCACCAAATGTTCCAGAATTAACATGTGCAGAACTAGTCTTTACTATGTGTGTAGCAGATTATGAATGCGGTAGGAACACACCTGCATAGAGAATAGGGAAAGGTGGGATGTGGGTTCAAAGAGCTTGAGAATTGCTGCTTCATACCATGCAAAAGGCTACAAAAAGTGCAACGCTTTGCTCACTCATTTGGATTACTGTATTTTAATTCAGAATACTATGTAATGTACTAGAGACTATAACACAGTATATTTGTCCATACTTAATAAGACCTCTCATTGCACCATCTACTGTAAGTAGGGGAAAGATTGCCAACTGAAGCATCTGATACTTTATAATTCACACAAGGAAGTGAATTCCTTTAAATCTCCATTATAACTATTGGCCAAGGGTGTTAAGTATTTAATAGAATCAGTCAGAAAAATGTCACTTACAAGAATAGAACATACGATGCCACCAACAAAGCATATCGCAAACCATTTCACTCGAGTGCCGAAACTAAGTGATGAGTTATTAAAGACCTTGTAGGGAGAAAAGAAAATTGATGGTTAGGAGCTGTTTGAAATTTATGGTTCCCAAAGTTTATATCATTCATTTATATTTAAAAAGCTCTAACAGAGTATAAACAGATACAACTGTTCAACCTGAAACAAATATTAATATTTTATGTACTTCTCACAAAATTGCAACAGTTACCATATTTAACATACTCCAGTGTAAAATGAGATGAAAAACTTAGGCTTTACAAAATGTCTTATTAATTTCAAATACTCCAGTTGACATTAAGTAATAAATGCTGCCCCTCACAGACAAGTAAACCTACTCATCATCAAGCACTGACAAGTGAAGGTTCTGGCACAATCGTACTAAATTAGCATACGCAACCTTCTGGGGTGAGCTCACCTTAGTGAGCAATCTTTATGCATTTAGCAGCTGTCAACTACCTTGAATGTCAGCAACTAAGGACCTGCAGGCAGGATTCAGCCTGCAAAGAGGTTTGATTTGGTACGTGGTGGGGGAGGGAAAAAAAAATCAGGAAGCATACAGCTGTGCCATGTTGCCTATTCCCTCTGCAGCCATCCCCACTGCTCTCTTGTACCTCCCTTTACCCACAGCAGAGGGGCTGGGAATCCACAGTAAAGGGAAGCACAAGTGGCTTGGGTGCTCTGGAATGTGGAGATTTGTGGCCTGCGGCACAAGCTCTAGTCCACAGTGGCAAAAGGCTGATAACTTCTGCTTTAGAGTACGTAGAAAAGGAAAAAAGAAAGGAGGTACCATCACTGTTGATACTGCCACCAATTATGCTACAAACAGAAAGCAACCATTTTGCTGCTGTAGAAAAAGGGAATGGCAAAAAACCACGCATTTAATGAATAGAATAGACCCGGTAACCAACTTTAACAACTGGGGTGCATGGGGTTCCCAGCCATGGGACTTGGTTCCTGCCAGTGCAGGGGGAGCCTGTGATCAGACCCCTTCTTCACGGACAGTAAGGCACAATGGGATGTAATATGTGATCTCACAATCACGCCTCCTGGCATGCAGAAGAGTGCTTGGCTACATTTTAACATTAGTTAACAATCTTAACACAAAGGAGACTATTAGTTTTTAGTGGCCCGATTTCAAAAAGTGCTTAAGCAACTGAAGAAGCCTCTGAAAGTTTTCTTCAGTAGCTGTTCTTTGCTAAGTTTTAGTTGCACCAATTCCATCATTTGATCACAGGAAAGATTTCAAACATGTTAACATGAGGCAAGTTTACTAAAACACACTAGTACTGCACTTAAGGATATCATAAAGATACAAGACAAAAAAAAAAAAATCAAAATATGCAAGAGATTTGAGTCTACGTCCCAAAGACTTTAAACAAAATATGTTCTGAGGCATTTATGCAAAATGTTACCTACAAACAGATCCACTGCAACCTGTTCTATTACTGAAGTCTAGCCTACTAAACAGGGCAAGTTTTACGCAACAAGTCTAGTGAGATGGCATGAATGAACACACAGTTAATTCACACTTCTCTTGCTCATGTATCCATAAAATATTACATTGTCACCTAAAACATGCAAAACTTTTACAATTTACTTTAACTGTAGTGTTTTCCTATGGCAAGCACTGACCACTGTATAGCAGTCATTCTTAATCAAATTAGCATATATGAAAAGGAGACATTGAGAAAATACTGATCTTAACATGTATATCTTGCCAATGTGTACCCAAAGGTCCCAATCCTGAAAGTAATCTTCTAGGCAATTAAGCATGCTACTGTTAGACAAATTTCAGATAATAAGATTACTCATAGCAGACTTCATCATGTGTGCAAATCCTTGCAAGATCAGGGCCTGTCTGATCCAACTCCTAAGTCAATGGGGACTTAAATATGATGTGGATTGCATCCTGAAGACCTTGAAACCAAGAAGTGCTACAACTTTAAGCACATAAAAATGCTAATGAGTCAATGGGGCTAAACAAAGATAAAATTTAATGATTTACTTTATTCTTGCCCGAATCTATCTTCCCAGTAAAAATAGAACAGAGCATACACCTTACTATATGAACGTTTAGCTTCTTCAATCTAAATAAAATATTTAAGTATTTCATTTAAAAATAAAACACGACTAAAAGTTACCTTTTATATTTACTGTCAGTTGACTACAGTGATAGAAAACAATACAAAGTATTCAAGATTTTTTTTCTTGTGTTCAGCAATTAAAAGCCACCTTTCCAAATGAGATACTCTGCTTACCTTGGTAGATCCAACTGTGTATCCTTATGCAGGCATAAAAAGAAGTAGATAAAAAGTGTAACTAATTGTTGTATCAATAGGTGGGGCACAATGGAACAATTATATTTATGAACACAGAAGCCACTGAGCAGGAGGGAAACTTGCCTGCAGAGAACTATAGGTACATACATATTTGGATCAGGCATTCAGATACACCAATTCATGGAAATAATTGTATGAGCACATAAACAATTAAATCTTTCCATTAAAAATACAGTATATTATCAAGGGATAAATGCCTTTTGGTCAGGATTCATAGCCACCAGCATGCTTTGCAATATGTATGTAGGTCACCCAATAGGAAATGAAGAAGAGGATGCATGGGTAAGATTCCAGTCTCATCTCCTGGGGGCAGGTGGCATTTATGCCATTCCTTGCAGCTGCAAGTTAGGCCAGTTCCACATTAATAGGAATACAATTATAAAACCCTACCTAGGCTTAATCAGATAAAGTCATAACCTTAGTAATTCACACATAAAAAGGAGGGAGACCCCATCCTGCTTTTGCACATTAGGCTAGTGCAGGGGTCAGCAACCCATGGCACACATGCAAAGCATGGCACGCTATGGCCAGCCCTGGCTCTGGGTAGCTGCTGCCAGCGGCGGAGCCCAGGCTGCTCCTAGCAGGGTTTGCAGCATCCCAGCTGCCTGCTGGGAGCATCCTGGGCTCCTGGCTGGCAGCAGCTACTCAGAGCCAGGGCCAGCTGCAGCCAGGAGGCTGCAAACAGCTGCGCCGGGCTGCTGCTGGAGCTGTGGAGCACGGTGCAGCTGTTTGCAGCCTGCCCGCTACTTGCTGCAGCTGCCCAGAGTCCAGACTGGCTACAAACAGCTGCGCCAGGCTCCGGAGCCATCACCAGCTGTATGCTGGGAGTGCGGAAGAGACTGGGGTTGCACTGCCTCAGGCCCCCTCCTGCCCTGCCACCTGCCCACTCCAATGCCCAGGTGCATGTGCTGGTATGGAGCTGATGCCTGGGCTCTGGACCCCAGCACAGCTGTTTGCAGCCTCCCGGCTGCAGCCGGCCCCGGCTCTGGCTAGCTGCTGTCAGCTGGGAGCCCGGGCTGCTCCGAGCAGGCAGCTAGGACGCTGCAAGCCCTGCTGAGAGCAGCCCAGGCTCCAGCAGATACACAGAGCAGGGGTAGCTGCTGACAGCTACAGAGCCAGGGGCACAGGAGCTTTGGGTGGGGGGCAGGGGACAGCAGGGCCGGGGGGCAGAGGCTTCAGGTGGGAGGCATGGGGCAGCAGGGCTGGGGGGCAGGGCTTTGGGTAGGGGGCAAGGGGCACAAGCAGGGCATCCTGCCACGTACCCCCTGCCCTCATATTGTTTATCTGGCATGCTGGCACTCCGGCACCTTCCAAGGTAGACACTGTGGTGTTTTTCGGCGCTCTGGCCAAAAATGTTGCCTACCCCTGGCCTAGTGGTTAGGGGAGCTGCTTAGGAAGTGGAGGACTTGGGGCATAGGTTCTGTTCAGCCTGCAGGGGTTTGAATCCTAATCTTTTATATCCCAGGACAATCAGGCTATGGGCTGAAATCACCCTCCACCCTTATTGCTGAAGCTGAGTCACTGGACACCAGAGCATGCAGAAGTCATGGGGCCAGGAGGATAGCAGGCAAGACAGCATTCTTCTGTAGCCCAGTAAGAAGGGCCCTCCTCAGGGATGGAAGAACCAAACCCTGGGTTCTGGTGTCTTAGACCAGAGGTTCCCAACCCCCAGGCCGTGAAGGGTTGGCTGGAAGCCTGGAAATAACCAGCATACTGCAGACCGGCAACCAATCCTTTTTTAATACTGAGTATAAAAAAGGGTTGGCTGCTGGTTTGCAGTACACTGGTCCAAGTTTGCTGGTCTGTGGTCGCTTCTGGTCCGTGGTCTAAACAAGTTCGGAACCACTGCCTTAGACCACTTGTACATTAAATAATTCTTGATCATAAAACACATTGGGAATGTCAGCAGAACTACCCAACTCAGTCTACAAGAAAAATCTTTAGGAATCCTGCATTTATGCAGGGGGTTGGATAAGATGCCCCTCAATAGCCATTCAAACCATATGATTCCATCTTTAGCCAAGTTATTTATAACAGCAAATTTAGCCATTGTACAAGTGGTTACAGCTGTGAAAAATGAAGCTCTGTATGCACTACTGTATTTACTACATAAAAGATGGTCCTGCTCTTTTCTAACCACTCAAGAACCAATGTTTTTATCAGTGATGTTGTATGGGAGAGGTTAGTTATACTAAAGGAGCAATGCTTAGTGCTCCCCAGGCTGAGCTGGCTACGTTTAAAAATTATTTTTAATGCAAGTTAGAACTAATTTCATGTTTACATAGGTTCTGAATAGATGAGTCTGAATGATAAATTCAACCAGGGAAGCAGTAGCAGCAGAGAGAAGCCACAGGGCAGAGCAGGTGTGTGCTCTCTGCACCTGCATCAAGGGCCCAGCAGCATTGAGGGGGATGCAGCCACTTTTCCCCTGCACTGGAGCAGATGTAGGGTGGCCTGGGGTTAGGGCTGCATGCACGGGTTCCAGCTGGTCTGTCCTGGCCAGCGCAGGCCAGGATTGGGGTTGGGCAGTCAGCTGCTGCTGGGCCTGGCAGCAGTGAGGAGCTGCAGGGTGTATGGACTCTGGCCTGTTGAGAGGGGATGGGAGGAAGGGGAGGAGAGGTGCTGACCAGCCTGCAACAGCCTTGAAGATGGTCTGTGTGGCCAATAGGCCGAAAGAATGGCCTGCTCCTGCTCTATCAAATACCATTTTAAGTAAGCATCAAGGATTCGTTTTATTGGCTACACGGTACTTGGAACATTCAAGTCAGAATGAATCAATAAATTATTTTACTTTTTTGCTTATTTGGCATGTGGAGATAGAAAAACAATTATTTTCCCTGTGGGAAATACGTACATATTAACGCAATAAATAGACAACTTAATTCTCTACGCTCTCTTAGACCTTTTTCATCAATTATATCCTATTATTACCAGCACACACAATAGCAGAATAATGTTCCCCACCATTCTCTGAGGGGCAAATTTCAGCTTTGTCCTGGATCACTTCCAAATAATACTTCAATTTTCATGTAATTTCCAGTCTTGGCCTCTGCCAAAAGAGGTGATTGAGATAATTGTATATCAGCACTGTAGCAATATCTCAACCAAGGGTCAGGGACACACTGTGTTGGGAACTGTTAACAGTGCAAGGAAATATGCCCTATGTTTACAATCTTAGTTTGACACAAGGACAATAGGAAGAAATAAACATGCGATACAGAAAGTAAGAGAGAGACTAATAGTGGTAGTTTTTGACTATTACATTATATTGGTTTAACATAAGCAAAAAGTGAAAAAGATTGATGGCTTCACAACTGTGATACAATACTGAATTAGTAAGCAGCCTTGCTGGAGGGATGAGCAAAAATACCAGGGTAAACTCCAGTGCAAACTATGTGAAAGATTTATGAGAACCATAAAAAAGGGAAGGAAGTTTGTATAGCAAACATCTCTCACCATCTTTAGTTCTACTGACACTAAGCAGTTTACTTCTGAAAGAAAAAATCCACAACAACAACAAAAAGGAACTAGTGAATAAACCCCCCACTGTTTTCTATAATCAAAATTTAATTCATAACCCTTTGGCAAGCAACACAAACAAAAATACAGTAAGAGGTCAAGGAAATGGCCAAGTTAGCTAGAACTGAAAAGGGAGAAGACAAATCAGGAAGGGAGGTTTTCTGAAAGCCTCATAATGCTCTAAAACAAGGGTCAGCAACATTTTCAAATGGGCTGGAACAACAAGACTCCAGTTTGGCACAGGCCAGGTGGCTTTGGCAGTGTCAGGAGCAAGGCAGTTTTCCCTGCACCTGTGCTGGGGCCATCTTCCCCAGCCGGGACACAAGCGCAGCTTCCACCTGGAAGCGAGCCGTGTTGGGAATTTGGTTAGCTGGCTACTGAGCCTAAGATGCTGCCACTACTTTGCAGCCCCTGCTCCACAGCTGCAATACAGGCACAGCTTCCAGTCAGTAGAGAGATTCACCAGGGCTGGGCAGCAGGAAGTCACATCCTCAGTGCTGCCACTTACCTTCCCACTCCTCCAGCTGCGGTGAGTGCAGCTGGAAGGCACGCAGCCCCATCTCAATTCCCCACTGGCTGGAAGTTGTGCCTGTGCTGCAGCCAAGGAGCAGAGGATGGGAGAAGCAGCTGTAATGGTAATGAAAGTGCAGCTTCCATCTGCTTGGGCACAGTGCAGCTCCTAACTGTCCAGTCCTAGCACAGGCACAGCCGGAGGCAAAGCCTTCTCAAACCACAGGCCAGATCCGGTGGCTTCATCAAATTCAGCCCACGGGCCATATGTTGCCAACCCCTGCTCCAATACATAAGCTGAGGTTGAAAAAATTAAACAAAAAAGTGGTTCTCACTCCTTTTTGGGCTTGAGGCATCCCTCTATAACTTCTGTGAATTAGGTGGCATCCAATTTCAAAGACTAATTTAGATGTTATAGTGCATATCTCCTTATACAAGGGCTGGGCAGAAGGGGTGAGGACTGTTCAGGTACCCTGAGCCTGGGTTATCTGCTTATCTCCCAACACCTTGCAGCACCCCAGGGTGCTCTAGAACTCTGGCTAAGAATCACTGCAACCTCTCCAATGAAGAGAAAAAAAGGTTACTATTTTTTTCTTTCCAAATCTTTTTCTTACAACTATTTACTACCAACATTAACTAAAAGCTTTTCTATATGGGACTTTACATGATCATGGGTAAGTGAAACGCGCTACCAAAAGTGAAAGAAGAACTGTGCATGAGCCACAGCCTACTAATATGTGATTTACTTGGAAAGAAATGTGATGATCCCCACTCTAAGAGATCAGTATTTTTTTTTTGGTCAAGGGAAAGGAAAGAGACATACAAGTTTAAAGGCTAGTAACTTGCCTTTTCTATCACGGACCTGACACATTTTTCCTTAAAATTCAATAAGGCTCATTCTTAAGCTTCCTGAGAAGCATACATATGGAAATTAAAAAGTTGGAACAAAAGTGATAAAAAGAAATTTAAAAAAAATCATTATGCACATTCTATTTTACACACAGTTCCAAGTTACAGGAAAACAAAGCAGTGTGAAAGTACCTAATAAAGGTATTGCTATTTACCAGGGATGGCAAATTTTCAGTTTGATCTAGTGGGAAGTACAGGAGGCTGCTTACGTTCACAGATGACAGGCATCTTCAGTTAGACAGAGCTTGTGTCTGGATAGACATTTTGCATCATCTATGTAACTGGCACTGCTACACTCTAGCAATGATGAAACAGCCTTTGTGGCTGAGGACAGACTACTACAGAATCTACGACAGCTTCCGGCATTGCCTAAAATACTTCAGTTTATTTTTGCGTTTTTAAAGTGAGTCTTTCTGATTCAACTTCTCAGCTAAAGGTCCTTCCTGCACCATGATGAAAAGGATGTCATAATTTACATGGTGCACATGCAATTTTACAGCTGTTTGGCGTCTGACACAGGAAACCTCTCCGTCACTTGCCTATAAACAGACTTTAAACTTCAAGCAACTTAAGTGCAGAATGCACACGTGGATGTACAAGACATGTTGCAGAGCCCAGCAGTCTTGTTAAACAAGGCTCCAGTACTTTTCTGTCACACTAACAACAGCTTTGCAAATGGCATGCTTTTCAAAGCAAAAAGTGAATGCTACATCTACACTAGCTGTTCTCTTAAGATGGGTCATAAGAAAACCCACATTCTCCAAGGATGTTCCATGGGCTCAGCTCCACTGGCAACAAACAATAGTTACACTACAACATTATCTACTTCTGCTCAGAGCAGCAGACCCATCTATACCAGGGTTTCCATTCTAGAACTGATGGCATGAAGAGGTATGAAAATCCCAGTCCTTAGAAGACCAAGTTTAGCATCACAGCATGTCTGAAAGTATTGACATGAATCATAAGCATCCTACATTGTAAAAAGATTGGTGTTCATCTATTGACATAGTTATCAGGAATGCCATTTCAAACTGTAGAGAAATTAGTATGATAATCGTTTATACAGATAAGACCATTATAGCTTTTGATGGTTGATGCCTGTACCAGATCAACCAAACTGTGTGTGCATCTGCTCCTCCACATAGTGGAAAAGGGAGAGAGAGTATCATGAAAGTACTCTACAATACTTTAAATCTAAGTGAGGTACTTAAGAGATCCAAGTTAAATGAATAAACAATAGGATAAGAGACTAATTAAATAAGTGGGGAAAATGCAGTTTCACAGTGGAAATGATGCTCTGCCTTAATCGCACACAATGCCATCTACTAAATTAGCGGTGCTTAACCTTTTGACCCCATGGACCAGATGAGTAGCATGGTGTTGCTCCTGCATGCTGGGTCTAGACACTGTGAACCCAATCTACTGCACAAGGCTCCCCAAGGACCTACAGGGAATAAACACCATTGGCTGGATGACATGGTGCCAGACAGGACCCACAGGTGGGGGGGGGGGGGGGGGCCCCC